CTCACGGGCCCACGATCCGTTACTACCCTGCTGGGGCCGCCATCCTCTTCATATCTGGCTCTCCCGGTACCTGTCCCCAAAGGTCTCCTCAGCCACTGGTGGGCCTGCTCGGAGGTCGTGACCTGGCCCGGGACTGTTTCAAGTCCATCCCCACCATCAGGGGCCCTGGTGAAAGCACAGCCCGGGCTTAGACCCCACGCTCTGAGTAGGTCTGTCAGTTGGCAGCCTGAGGCACCACCTGGCGGATCATAACAGTACCTTGCGGCCATGACAGAGCCAGGAAGTGGACCGGCGTCCCTAGAGGATATTTGTCAGCACCTGGCAACCTTGACCCAGGCTTTCCAGGACTTCCACAGTCGCTGCGCCCGACTGAGGACCGCATGGAGTCATTAGCTCCCCTGACTCCCCCTGCTCAGATTCCTCCACCTGCAGAACCTCCCGCTAACCCGGTATCCGGAGCAGTTGCCACACCCCTAGCTCCTGAACCCCGCGTTCCTCTGCCGGAACGATTCCGTGGTGACCGGAGCCGCTTCCGAGCCTTCCGGAACGCTTGCACCCTGTACTTCGACTTACAGCCCCGCACATTCACCACCGAGACCGTCAAGGTGGGGTTTATAGTCTCCCTCCTTCAGGATGAGCCCCAGGATTGGGCTCACCGTCTGATGGAGAAGCACGACCCCCATCTTGACTCCGTGACCGAGTTCTTTCGGGCCATGGCCGTTTTGTATGACGACCCTCAGCGGGCTGCTTCCGCAGAGGCTACTTTATACTCTCTGCGGCAGGGCCGCCGGACAGCCGAAGAATACGCGTCCGATTTTAGGCGTTGCATGGGAGACACCAGATCGAACGATGCGGCCTTATGTCACCAGTTCCGCATCGGGCTGTCTGAGTCTCTCAAAGACGAGCTAGCACGAGTAGGCCTACCTGACTCCCTGGAAAAATGATTGAGTTGGCCATTCAAATTGACCGTAGACTAAGGGAACGTCGGCTGGAAAGGAGCAGCCAGGGTCAAAGGGTGGCATGGATTCCATCCAGAGATACAGCTCCAACCCCAGGGAACCATCCCGCGAAGCACGGAAACAGGGGACAACCCGGAACCCATGCAACTGGGATTGGCCCGTTCCCACTTATCGGTCGAGGAACGTCAGAGGAGACTATCACAGAACCTATGTCTGTACTGCGGGGAAGCTGGTCATCAGGTGCGCTCCTGTCCTGCTAAAATGAGTAAGTCCACGCCCGTTTCTTTTTACTTTACCTGCAGGAAGGGATGATCAGTCGAGTTACCTGGCCATTCCTGTGTCTTTACAGCTCCCCGGAGGAACATTGTCGGTGACCGCAATCGTTGACTCAGGAGCCTGTAGTTGCTTCATCGATCTGACTTTTGCCCACCGGCAAAAAATCCCTCTCCAGACCAAAGAAAGGGGGTTCAACATCTTCTTGGCAGATGGGTCCCGTATAAATCAGGGGTGGTGGACCAGGAGACACCACCCATTTTCACCACAATGGCAGACCATCACCAGGAGTTCCTCCGTTTGGATGCCATCGCATCCCCCTTTTTCCAGTCATTCTGGGGCTCCCTTGGCTGAGGGCTCATAACCCCCAGATTGAGTGGGAAAAGGGAACAATTCAATTTCGCTCACCTTATTGTTTGAGTCACTGCCACGTCACAGGATCCGTGGTTCCCCGGTTCCTCCTGTGCTTGGATGGCAACACCAATCTATCCCAGGTTATTCCTCCGGCCTACCATGACTTCTTAGACGTCTTTAGTAAGCGAGGAGCTGACGTTCTCCTCCACACCGTTCCTACGACTGCCCATAGACCTTCTACCCGGATCTGAAATCTCATTCGGCCGTATCTTTCCCTTGTCCGAAACAGAATCGGGAGTGCTGAGGGAATACATTGACGAAAACCTTCGGAAGGGATTTATTCGTCCATCCACATCCCCAGCCGGGGCCGGGTTATTCTTCATAGAGAAGAAGGACAAATCGTTACGGCCCTGCATAGACTACCGTGATCTGAACAAAATAAACGGTAAAGAATCGTTATCCCTTACCCCTAGTCCCCGAGCTCCTCCAGAGATTGAGATCGGCAACGATATTTACTAAATTAGACCTGCGGGGGGCCTATAACCTTGTCCGTATCAGGGAGGGGGATGAGTGGAAGACGGCGTTCCGTACGAGATTCGGTCACTATGAATATTTGGTGATGCCGTTCGGGCTCTGTAATGCTCCGGCGACCTTTCAGCACTTTATCAACGATGTTTTTCGTGATTTTCTCGATATTTTCGTGGTGGTTTATTTGGATGACATCCTAATTTTTTCCCCCTCACTGGAGGTTCATCGGGGTCACGTGATACGGGTATTAGAACGGTTGCGTCAACACGGGCTATACGCGAAGGCAGAAAAGTGCTGTTTCGAACAGCACGAAATCACGTTCTTGGGACTGGTTCTCTCTTCCGCGGGGGTCGCGATGGATCCCCAGAAAGTCACGGCGATCTTAGATTGGCCAATACCCGCCGACAAAAAGGGGGTACAGCGTTTTATCCGTTTTTCTAACTTTTACAGGAAGTTTATTAGGAACTTCTCCGGTCTGGTCTCCCCGATCACGCAACTGACGAAACAAGGGGTCCGCTTTAAGTGGACTCCCGAAGCGCAGACGGCATTCGAAAAGCTCAAAGAATTGTTCACCTCTGCTCCCATTCTCTGCCATCCAGATTCTTCTCTCCCATATGTTTTGGAAGTGGACGCCTCCGAAAATGCAGTAGGAGCGGTTTTGTCCCAAAGGAATGGTACCAAGGAACTACTGAACCCTGTGGCGTTCTTCTCCAGGAAGTTGACACCAGCGGAACGTAACTATGACATTGGAGATCGGGAGCTCCTGGCCATTAAAACTGCTCTAGAAGAATGGAGGTATTTACTGGAAGGAGCCACGCACCCAATCCTAATATTCACAGATCACAAAAACCTTGAATATTTAAGAACGGCAAAAACGACTGAGACCTCGCCAAGCGAGATGGGCTCTTTTCTTTTTCGATTCTCATTCCATATAACGTACCGACCCGGTACTAAGAACACTAAACCAGACGCTCTGTCCCGCATGTTTGAGGACCCTGACGACGCTGTGGTACCTGACACCATCTTACTGTCTGGGAGTTTCCTCGCTCTACAAACGGAACTTCGCTCCCGGCTTCTCGATGCTTCTGTAGGACTACCAGTTCCGTCTGGGTCACCCCTCCAGAGCCATGGTGGGCTATTTTGGAAGGAAGACCGGATCATGGTCCCAGAAGAAGTGCGAACCTTGGTCCTAGGGCACTGCCACGACCATCCAATGGCGGGCCACTTCGGGGTAACGAAAACTCTGGATCTACTACGGCGCTCGTTCTGGTGGCCAGACATGATCAAGGATTGTGAGCATTACGTCCGAACTTGTCCCACCTGTCAAAGGAACAAGCCCTCCAGGAGCAGGGCATGGGGATTGTTACGTCCATTACCCATACCCAAGCGGGCCTGGCAAATGATAGCCATGGATTTCGTGGTCGAACTTCCACCATCCCAGGGCTACACTGCAATAATGGTGATCGTCGACCGCTTCTCAAAGATGGCACATTTCGTGCCCCTGAAGAAGACCCCATCAGCACCGGAAACGGCACGGATCTTCATCAAGGAAGTGGTGAGGCTTCATGGGGTTCCCGAAGATATAGTGTCAGATCGGGGGGGTCCAATTCACCTCCAGGTTCTGGAACGCCTTATGTAAATCGCTGGGAATCAAGCTGTCGCTTTCATCCGCCTACCATCCACAGACCAACGGCCAAACTGAGAGGACCAACCAGACGCTGGAACAGTACTTACGGTGCTACACATCCTACCTTCAGGATGACTGGCTGTCGTTGCTGCCTTCCGCAGAATTCTCATACAACAACTCGAGTCACTCAGCTACGGGTCAATCCCCGTTCTTTTCCAATTACGGGTATCATCCCACATTCCTCCCTGATCTTATGCCTGAGAATCCGGGGTACCGGCGTCTCAAGACTTCTTGAACTTCTTTTCTGTCAATAACAAGACAATTCAGGAAGCCATCGCTAAAGCCCAAGAGGACAGTAAAAGGGCATTCGACAGAAAGAGAAGAGGAGAATTACTGCTTCAACCAGGGAATCAGGTTTGGCTAGCAACAACCAACTTGAAGATGCTGTGCCCTTCAAGGAAGCTGGGACCCAAGTACATTGGCCCATTTCCGGTAAAACGAGTAGTCAACGAGGTGGCCTACGAACTCGAGCTTCCGCAGACCTTCAAGATACATCCTGTGTTCCATGTGTCTCTCCTGAAGCCATCCAGACCGGATCCCTTCCCGGACCGTGAATCCAGACCTCCCGAGGCAGTCACCATAGGTGACCAGGAGGAATATGAAGTGGAGACTATCCTCAGTTGCCGAAGGAGGGGGGGCCAGACACAGTTCCTGATAAAATGAAAGGGGTATGGCCCTGAGGAGAACTCATGGGAACCCGCCCAGAACGTTCACGCACCCAGGCTCATCCGGGAATTTTGTCGTGGTCACCCGCGGTGGAGAGATCAGTGGGGCTCCCGGAGGGTGCCCATTGGGGGGGGCAATGTCAGGGATCGCGGCTCCGTGGTCCACGATCGTGGCTCTGTCCCCCGCGCATGCGCATTGGCAGCAGATCGCGCCGGGACACAGGCACTAGGTCCCGGCGAGCCGCGGCTGACAGGACGCCGCGCATGCGCAGTAGGAGCCGCGGGCGCGTCTCAGGCGTCCAATGACAGCCGGGGGCGCGTCCTAGCCGGCCAATGACAGTGCAGGGCGCACTATTTAAAGATGCCCTGCACTGTCACAGATTGCCGCAAGGTCTTCCTGTGATCCTGAGTTTCTGCACCCGTCTAGTGACCCTGATTGACCCTGACTACGCAGCCTGCCCCTGTGATTGACCCGGATTGCCCTGACTATTCTGCCTGCTCCTGTGATTGACCCGGATTGTCCTGACTACTCTGCCTGCTCCTGCGTTTGACCCGGATTGCCCTGACCATTCTACGGACTGACTTCCCTGCTGACCCTGCGTGTGACCCGACTACTCTTCGCCTACCGATTCTGTACCCCGCTTACCCTCACGGGCCCACGATCCGTTACTACCCTGCTGGGGGCCGCCATCCTCTTTATATCTGGCTCTCCCGGTACCTGTCCCCAAAGGTCTCCTCAGCCACTGGTGGGCCTGCTCGGAGGTCGTGACCTGGCCCGGGGACTGTTTCAAGTCCATCCCCACCATCAGGGGCCCTGGTGAAAGCACAGCCCGGGCTTAGACCCCACGCTCTGAGTAGGTCTGTCAGTTGGCAGCCTGAGGCACCACCTGGCGGATCATAACAATTACTTTATAAACAGAAGCTCTGGTTAAGTAACATCTATTCTGATTTTCTTGATGAAGAGAGAGTGTGTGCTTCTACAATGTATAGGTTATTGCGGAAAACAAAGTGTAAATCTACAAGTTGACCCTTGGGGTTTTAAAGTGAGGCATAACAGGAAGGAGGAGGAACTAGCTCAGGTGTGGGATCAGCTGTGGCTGGTGATGGAGGTTCCGTAGATAGGGTGGTTTGTCAGGTGATACACCTTGCTGATTGGGTGGTCCCCTATCTTAGGGTTCGCTGCAGAACAGAACCCTCCTAGGGGTTTGGCCTGGAACCACAGTGTGCGAGACCTCTCAAAGTATGCGTGGTGGCACCCCTCTTTGTCTTTGGGCTGATAATGACAAACTGTAAAGTGTGATATTTGGTGGAGAAAATCAGCGCTGTATCTCTCAAAATGACTCTAATCAGAGCCAGGACAGGTATCATTGTTAAGTATAAAGGATGTTATCCTTTCATATATGGGGCCTAGTAAAGTAGCTTGGCCTTCAGCAATGAGGGGGCATTAACCCACATGTGTAACAATACAATAAAATCAGCATACAGCTTCCTCATTCTAACAAGGGTATGACCAGAAAAAAAGTGCAGTTGATAATGCAGATAAAACCACATTATTGAATAAACAATGATAAAAATGTGTATAAAATAACGTGACTTGAACAGGACATATCACAAGGACAAATCATCCAGAGAAAAGCCATGTCATACCATGTTGAGAAATTCTCACAGTAGGAGAGGATGCAAGCAGGGGCGGACTGACCATTCGAGCACTCGGACTCTGCCCGAGGGACCGGGGTCAGTAGGGGGCCCCATGAAATGCCCCTGGTACTTTTAATATGCTTTTTTGGGTGTGCTTTGAGTGTGGGCGAGGACACAGGTGCATCATGATCCCCTATTGCCCGGAGGCCCCATGAATTGTCAGTCCGCCCTGGATGCACGTCAAGATATTCTGAAGAACACATTGGAACTACAAAGATATTCCAAGCTGCTGCTATAAGGGAACCAAAATTGTATCCTTACTGATTAAACACCTCCACTAAACTGATGTGTTTAGAGCCAAGCCCCTTCTTGAGGAATAATAAAGGAGCAATACCACATTGAAGAGGCCATCACTTTGTTCTATCCTCCTGTGAGCAATGTAGCAAAATTGTACAGGACAACACAACATACAGTACCTGGCTTACAGGACTGGCTCTTTCCTTCCTGAGCTCTTCTGCACAAGTTACAGGCAGGTGTTATAAAGAAAATAATGAGGTACTTGTACTGGGAGAGCCAAAAAGATAACTTAGTAGACATCTCAAACTAATGCAGATCCTCTACACTGACATGTTTCAGGGCCATGCCCCTTCTTCAAAGATATGGAATGATATTAAGTACAACACAGAAGAGGTCATCACTCTGCTTTATCTTCCTGTCAGCAATGCAACAGTTAATATAAAGACATAATAAAGTATTGTAAAAGGGATTTGGCGGTTGGCTGACTTTGGCGCCAAAGCACAAGTCCCTAACCCTGCTCCAACCCTGCTATAACACCGTCCCTCCTGCTGAGACTGAACTCTCCTCCATCTTGTGCCTCACTCCTTGCCATAGGCCTCTACACGATATTCCCAGCCATACACCTTTGTATCCCCAAGGAAATTATGCTCACACAAGAATTAGTTTTGCTGCACTTCACTGGTGGTATTCTGGAAATGGCATTACAGTCACATCACAAGGACATAAATTCCGGAGTCACTTAACTTTACACAGTCAATCACATTTATTATTATTATTATACAGTATTTATAAAGCGCCAATGGTTCGCTCAGCGCTGTACATTACAAAGGGGGGACAGAACATGTGACAGAACAATACCAATACAATGCAAAACATGAGGGGATCGAGGGCCCTGCTCTTTCGAGCTTACAATCTAGGAGGGAGGGGATGGTGGCACAGGAGGAGATAGCTGTGGGTGATGGAGTGGCAGGAAGAGTGGAGGAGGTCGGCAGGTTAGCAGGGGGTGGGGTAGGCTTCCCTGAAGAGGTGGGTTTTCAGGGTGCGCCTAAAGGAGAGGAGAGTAGGTGATAATCTGATGGGTTGGGGTAGGGAGTTCCAGAGGATGAGTGACACCCTGGAGAAGTCCTGGAGGCAGGCATGGGAGGAGGAGACCAGGGAACTAGAGATCTGCAGTAGTTACAAGTGAAAGCATGTGTGTCACCTCAATATCCATCTCCCTTACAATCTTTGCTCTGCCTAGGGTCATTAGGGCTCACAGGGCTGTGTTCTCTGTAGTCACCTCCCTGCTGGGTACATCTCTAACCTCCAGGGAAGAAGCCTCATATAGGGATCTCCAGTGTGGCCTAAAATGCCTTTTGCAATCTGCCCTTTCCCCCTTCTCCATAAGGGACAGAAAGACTACAGCTGGCTCCTTCTGAGTACAGATCCAAAATCACCCGACCACCTGCCCTGTCCAGGTCCAGCGTGTACTGGCTACATTCTCATAGGTGTGGGGTATTTACCTCCCATGCCCCAAAAGTGTGTGTGTCCCTCCCTACTTAACCTATATGTCATTATACATCACTGTAGGAGGGCTCTACCTAAAAGTAGCCTAGCACCTGATGACATTACCTATTTAGTGGATGATCTGCAGTAGTTACAAGTGAAAGCATGTGCGTCACCTCAATATCCATCTCCCTTACAGTCTTTGCTCTGCCTAGGGTCATTAGGGCTCACAGGGCTGTGTTCTCTGTAGTCACCTCCCTGCTGGGTACATCTCTAACCTCCAGGGAAGAAGCCTCATATAGGGATCTCCAGTGTGGCCTAAAATGCCTTTTGCAATCTGCCCTTTCCACCTTCTCCATAAGGGACAGAAAGACTACAGCTGGCTCCTTCTGAGTACAGATCCAAAATCACCCGACCACCTGCCCTGTCCAGGTCCAGCCTGTGCTGGCTACATTCTCATAGGTGTGGGGTATTTACCTCCCATGCCCCAAAAGTGTGTGTGTCCCTCCCTACTTATATGTCATTATACATCACTGTAGGAGGGCTCTACCTAAAGGGGGCCTAGCACCCGATGACATTACCTACTATACCAGACACTATTCTGAAAACAGAACCACCTAGTGGCAAAGTAGCTAACTGCACCTGCCTACAGAACTTGTACAAGCTGATTTTTGCTTTTGATGATTTTATTTTAATGAATGCACAACTGTATTAAACAGTGATGATGTGTACACTATGTACTGTAGCTAGGGTTCAGCATTTTTGCGCCTAGCTTATGGTTGTTGCAAACAAAGTGTCTCCGTGTGATGCACAATGTGTTTTGTTTCACCTGAGTAAGAATATTTCCTTCAAACGAATGTACGCAATTTTTCATCTGGAGCCTACCCAGCACCTAAAACTCTTTTTTTTTTTTTAAGCTGACAAACCTGTCAGTGTTTGTTTTTGTGCAGTTAGGAATGATTAGATTCTGTATAAGTCTTTAATATCTCCCTGTTTTTTCCTCCTGGATACTCTTATCTCCAGTTCAAACACATATCCGTGAAATTCTCGGCTGCAGGAAGCTATCAGGCATACATTCTCATCAAACAAAAACCCTCGCTGAGTGGAGGAGATTGTGTTCAAATCAAACCAGCTAAGCACAAGGCATCCTGGACCAGAGACAGAGCCAGACTTCTACATAGAGGAACCAAGGTTTTAATGAAATTTCTTGCTGAAGGAAACAATCAGATTAAGACGTTTGTTGTTGTTGTATAGTCAATTCATAATCTCCATGAAATGAATTTCTATAGTTCTTTTATTTTAAAAATAGAGAAGATGTGCACATTGCTGTCAAATTTGATAGGAAGAAAAAGTTTTGAAGACTTACCTCATATATTGGAAACAGTCCTGACACTAAAAGGGACCAAACTAATTTTGCTTTGCTGCAAATGTTACTTAAGGTGAACCAGTGGCCATACTACCCACTTGAGAGCTGCTGGTTTTGGGTCCCCCTATATTCCTGCATGGCTAATCTACATGCATTTTCCAACTTGCATTCAGTCAGTAATGTCCATAGGCTTGTTTTTGTTGCTTTATTTGGGGATGAACAACTTGGATAGGGTCTAGGGGTACATGAGATGCCTATCTTGACTAGAACAATAACTCTAATGACAAACTTCCCAAAAAAATGTGGGATCTTGGACTTTTATACCCCCTCTGGAGTGGCAACAGTCTCTTCATGGATCAGTAACACAATCAATATGAGGAGCTTTTGGTCCCCTCTAAATGAACCCCTTAAGACCCCAGCTAGAACTACCCATCCACCTGGCTGTCTTTTGAAGAGTATCCTGAAGCAAGAGATTCTGAACCAGGCTTGCAGCCCTGTCCCAGAGAGAACTGGTTAAGTATAGCACCTAGAAGCCCTCTATGCTGTAGGCCCTGGGGGTGTTGAAGTACTCACACTGTCCTTGTGTCCTGCAGCTTTAGATGAACTGCTTTCAGGCTTTTTCGGGGGCTGGTTCCCCTGCAGGATAACAGGCTGTCCTTCCTTGGTGGACTGTAAGGCAGTGGAGCTTCCTCTGGGAGCTTCCTTCCGACCTCCAGCCTGGAGGCAGAGTCCCCCCTCCTCCAGGTCCCCTCCCAGGCTAATAGCAACACTTCTGAGTACTTCATCTTCCACCTAACGTCCCTACTGGCCAGGCTCTCTCATATTTATAGGTCACTGGTTCACTTTAAATCTGAGAACCAGGAAAGTAGCTTAAAGCCAAACTCCAGGAATTAGACAAAATCTACTCTTGCAGTGCCCCCTCCCCCCACGACTGTAAAGGTTAAATGCCTGTTGTGTCTAGAGGGCATAGAGACTTTAATACATACCAGCAGGCTGCGGTGGGCAGCAACAATTTTAATAATGTTTAAAAATAAACAATGCAAGTGCAATATT